GGGCAAGGTAGAACCCTGGACTGGCTCTTTGAATCTTTGCAGGGAGCAGTATGGTAGTGTCTGGACTGGCTGCATCGCTGGCTATTAGCACCCCTCAGGCACCCTGATCAGAGAGGTCCAGAGTGGGGGAGCCAGGGCCATCTGGAGGGGACAGCCAGGGCCCAGGACAGGGGCAACTGTGGTTATCGACAAACAGTCCCCACTCAGCACATCATGTGTCCTCTGCCAGGCCTCCAGCTGCACGAGTCAGGTGACTCCAGGCAGCAGGCCAGGCTGTAGGGACGGGTGAGTGAGTGTATGTGTGTGTGTGTGTGTGTGTGTGTGTGTCTGTGTGTCTGTCCCTGGGCAGGACCTGGACATCTGGAGTCTGAATTGATTTCCTATTTCAATTAAACAACTCAGGCTAGTCCTGTTTCCAGCCAGATTGAAAATAAAACAAACTTGTGTGCACAGTCCTCTCTGGTGGGACCTTTGAGGGTGCAGGGGACTAATGGGGACCAGGCGAGTCTTTCAGACCCCTGAGCCGGGCCAGGGACCCTCTGCTCTCCTGCCCCCTCCTCACGTCAGCACAAGCCCTAATCTCTCTCTGCCCCCCAATCGGGGTATATTTTTAGCCTCTAAGAAGGATTATCAGAGTTGAGCTCCAGGTGGCAGAGGCAGGGCTGGGAATAAGGCCAACAAGGCTTCACAATGCAGCCGGACTGATGGTGATGGGGATGAAGGCTCAGGCTGGCCCAGCCGCCCACGTGGTCATTCTCCCAATGGCCCCTCTGCGTGCTGGCTGAGCCCAGCCTGAGGTCATTCGGTACCACTTTGAGGCCAGGGCCTGTTGGGGAAGAACCACCCAGAATGCCCAGTGCCTCCTTTCCAGAACACTCCCCAGCCCGCCCCTCCCTGCTGCTGACAGCCACCCCGTGTGGAAGGGCCTGTGGTCACTCCGTGGTACAGATGAGGAAACAGAAGAGCAGCGCAGCCAGGTCAGCAGCCCGAGGAAATGCGTGAGACAGGAGCACCGTGTGTGGCAATGCCAGCGTGCAGGGTGTGTGGTGAGGCAGGAGACCGGTCTGGACTCGCTCCTCAGACAGGGTAGCGGACGCCCTAGGAGGCAGAGAGTTCCTGTGGAGGTGTCCAAGAGAGAAAGTGAAGACTGAGGAGCAGGCCCCCCAGAACCCCACTTCCTCCCGTCCTTTGGGAAGAGGGCATGTGGTGGGGGACCAGGAGAGAAAGGGAAGTCCAGGCCTTGCTGGCTGTAGCTGCTTGTTCACGCTGCCCCTGAGCCCCACCGGCCCCCTGTGTGTCAGGCTCCCGGCCCCCCTGGGCGCCAGGCTCCCGACCCCCCTGGGTGGTAAAGCAATTGAGGCCCCTGGGCTGGAAGCATTGGACCTGGGACTTGGCCACTTTGCTGGGCTCCAGACCCTGTTTTCTTCCCAAACCGATGTCTCTTCAAGAGGGTGGGGGGAGGGAGGGGGTGACAGACATTGGGGTTAAGAGGCAGGTAGGACTTCCAGGGCCAAGACCTCTGCAGTCAGGGTAGGGTATACCCGTGGGAAGACTCGGGCCAGAAAGGGCTGGGCCTGCTTCACCTGAGGGGGCGGACGGGCTTGAGGCTGATTATCCTTCCCCCCTCTCCCGCCTGGCAGGACTGCCTGGCCGGCTCCCAGCACCACAGGGAGCCAGGCAGGGCTTGGGGAGGTTCTTCAAGTGGAGCCAAGGCCGGGGCATTCGGACGGTGCCTCCAGGAGGAAGTGACAACTAAACTACCTGCAAGGGCAGAGACCTTGCCCTCGCTCCCCGCTATTCTGTGCCCTCAGCACCCAGCCGGGGGCAATAAACATTATCTGGGCCTCCCAGGCCGGGGCAGCATGGGTGTGTGAAACAGTGTGGTGTGATGGGAGCAAAGGGTCAGGCGATGAATGCTGGACTTTGAGGCTGCACACATCAGCAGTGGCTGAGATTAGGACTCAATGGCACCCTGGCTTCAGCGGACCCAGCTGGCGCCCTGGGGTGGGGGAAGAACATGGGACTGGAGGCCTGGACCCCAAGCCCACTCCCATCTGCTCTTGGTGGGGTGCCTTATCGGATGCTGTGACAGCGCCGGGAAGAGGCAGGAGATGCCCTTGGCGGGTGTGCGGGGCCGGAAGTCCAGGATGGGTGGGTGCCCTCGGCCCCGGTGGGTACATGGAGTCAAGCCAGCCTTTCCTGTTAGTGAAGGAGGCTCCTTTGCCAGAGATCAGCCAGCGGACAGACGTCCTCGCACGTGCCTTCCCATCTGTCTCTCCTCTCTGGGTTATCTGAGCCTCGTGGTCGAAACTGCCACTGCACCTGGCCGGTGTGGCTCCGTGATTGAGCATCGACCTATGAACCAGGAAGTCGAGGTCCGATTCCCGGCCTGGGCACGGCCCCGGTTGTGGGCTCGATCCTCAGTAGGTGGCAGCCAACCAGTGATTCTCATCTTTGATATTTCTCACTCTCCCTCTCCCTTCGTCTCTGAAATAAAATACATATATATATATATATATATATATTAAAAATTTAAAAAATAATAACAAATAAAATGCAAGTTTCGGGAAGGTAATTCTAAAAAATAACAATAATCGTAAAAAAATGAACTCGTCGGTGCCTCACCTCCCTGATTGCTTTCCAGGCTGCTGCCGGCTAGCGCCCCTCCCCCACCAGCGTCCAGTGTCGTGGTCACTGCTCCTCCTTCGCTGAAGCCTGAGGCTGGTCCTCCCTGTGACCGGGCTGCTCCTCAGCCACACACACCCCGCCTCACACACACGTGCAGGTCCACCCTTGCCCATGGGTTTAACCATTGGCCACGCACTCATGAGTCCTGCCTGGTCCTCCCCACCCCTACCCCAGGCCCAAGGAGCTCTGCCTCCTTTGTGTGTCCATGGGGACATCTCACACACACACACACACACACACACACACACAGCTTGTCTCTCCACACTGAACCCAACTACCCCAAAATCCTCTCACCCATCCTGGTTCGCCCACTTCCTCGGACTCTTTAAGAATTTTTATTTTTTTCTGTATTTCACTTGTGATTAATAATAATAAATACAAATCTGGCTTTGTCACTGGTCCTGGCACAGAGCTCCTAACTCTGGAAACTGAGATGGATAGAGTTATCTTGTTAATGAGGTGACTTTTGGAAAGCCCCTTAGTCACCTAAGGATGGGACTGGTTGTCAGGGGACCCAACTATGTGCCCGTCCCTCCCCAGGGCCTCCCAGGAGGGGAAGGGCTAAGGTTGAATCAGTCCCCAGTAGCCAGTGAGTTAATCAGCCATGCCTGTGCAGTGAAGACTCCATAAACGACAGACGGGTTCAGAGAGCTTCCAGGTGTGAGCACATGGGGGGTTGGGGGGGGGGTGCGTGGAGGGGGCATGGATCTCTGCCCTTTCCCCATCCCGGCCCCCCACTCTCTTCCCTCCGGCTGCTCCTGAGCTGCATCCTTTACAAACAGTGCCCTAGCAGGTACACTCTCTCCGAGCTCTGTGGGCCACTCAAGCAAATGCCTCAGACCCGAGAACGGGATGGCGGCAACCTGATCTGCAGCCCTTGTCAGTCAGAAGCCGGTGGCGGTGGGGGGGCAGTCTTACAGGACAGCGTCATATCCTGTGGGGTCTGACATGTCTCCTGTTTGGTGTCAGCATTGCTTGCTGGTGCCGGGAGAAAACACCCATGTCAGACCTAAAATCAGATTTATAAACTTTATATATATATATATATATATATATATATATATATATATATATATATATATATATAAATTTCAGAGATGAAGGGAGAGGGAGAGAGAAACATCACTGATGAGAATCATTGATCAGCTGCCTCCCACATGCCCCCTACTGGGGATCAACCCTGCAGCCTGGGCCTGTGCCCTGGCTGGGACACAAACCATGACCTCCTGGTTCATTAGATTGACTCTCAACCATTGAGCCACGCCAGGTGGCAGAACTATAGAGACTTTTTAAATACAAGTGTTTTCATTTGCTCAGAGAAAAGGGCCCACATCAGACACGCACAGCTCAGTGCATTTTCTTAACTGAGGGCTGGGCCTTCCAGCCCTCCACAGGCCCCTCCGGTCGCTCCCTGTCCCTAAGGGCAGCCCCTCTCCCCATGGCCGGCAGAACAACGCCCCTTAACGATGTCCATGTCCTAAGCCCGGACCTGGGAAATGTTATCTCACGTAGCGAAGGGGAGTTGGTTTACGGAAGGAATTAAGGTTATTGACAGGCTAACCTTGAGATGGGAGTAACCTCATCTGGATTACCTGTGGGGCACAAAGTAACCTCAGGGGTCCCTATGGGGGGGCGGGGGGAGACAGGAGGAACTGGAGAAAGGGAGAAACTGAGCTGCTCGGGGTCTGCAGATGGGGCTGGTCCTGTGTAGCTCGGCGGGGGGGGAGGGGGGGGGGCTGGCCCCCCTTAGTTCCTGCTCCGTTCCCGGGGGCTCCGTCTTGCTGTTGGTTCTCGCCCAGCTGCCACCGTGGTTTGGGGGAGCGCAGGAGGTTTGGGGGAGCGCAGGAGACGGCGACATTCATTCCTCGTAGGGGGTCCACCTTGGGAAGGGTAACCAGCGAGGGAGTTACAGGTTTCCTTACATTTTTGGTATTTGGGTTGCATTTACCCGGCGGACATTTGACAATTGAGGTCGTGACCCTACTTCCTTATCTTCGTCCATCGGTGTCTTCTCTGCCAAGTGCAGAGAGATCACTCTGCCATCGGCCGTGCTGTCAGAGGGCGGTGGGCGCCGGGCTGAGCACCCGTGTGCCTGGCCAGGCCCCGCTGAGCGGTGGGCACCGCTGCCCCTGTTTTACAGATGAACGTGAGGTCCGGAGCGAGTGGGCCGTTTGTCTGAAGACACCGGACCGAGCTCGGCTAACACTGGCTGGCATAAGCTCCAGGCGGCAGGTGCTGGGCGCGGGCCGGGCGGGGGCCGCCAGCTTCGCCCGCCGCGCGGTGAGCTCCCCTCACCGCCCTCTGTCTGCAGGATGTGGTCCCGTCTGAACGAGTGGCTGTGGCAGGACCGCTTCTGGCTCCCCCCCAACCACACATGGGCTGACCTGGAGGACCGGGATGGCCTGGTCTACGCCCACCCCCAGGACCTGCTGGCAGCCCTGCCCCTGGCGCTGGCCCTGGTCGCCATGCGCTTCACCTTCGAGAGGTGAGTGCCCGCTGCGGTCCTGAGCGGCCACCCGGTGCGGGGCTCTGTCCTGAGGCGCCTCTGGCTTTGGGCCACACTGCCCCTCCCTCCGTCCTGCCCCCCCGCTGCCACCACCCACGTTCCTTCTGGTCTCTGGTGGCTGTTGTATCGCAACTCTGCCTGCTGTGCTAGCGTCCTCGGGACACGGTGGGCATGTGCCCCACCTGCTGGCCAAGGACAGGTCTGCAGAGGCCGGTCGGTCAGTCAGCAGGGAAGCTCCGGTCCACTCCCTCCTCCTCTTCCTCTGTGGGCAAGCCACTCCCTCACCCTCTCTGGTTCCCCATTGCTCCTCTCCCCACTCCTCCTCCTGCCCTTTTCAGCCAAAGGAGGGAGCCTAGGCCTCCCTTTGGGATTCCCTCCCCTCACCCCGTCTCCTCAGCCTGGCACCTCCCCCCCACCCCCCCCACCCCCCCCCCCCCCCGTTGCCAAACCCTGTAGATGTTCGTTCATTTCTCAGATGACCCAGACGCTGCTCAGAACTGGGCTTTTCCCTCTTTCTCTGGGTGCCCTCTTAGGTTAGGCATCTCTCCGAGGCTCCCTCCCCCTGTCCCGGGAAGTCCCGCTCTTTCCCCTGGGGCCAGTGCTGTGCTCACAACTCCTAGACCTGCCTGACCAGGTGTGGATCCCTCTCCCTCTCCTTTCTCCACATGCGCTTCCTCCACTTCTCACACCCACCCCTGGTTTGCACACCCTCCTTTGCGGCTCCTTTGAGGCTGGGTCCCAGGGAAGCCTGCCCTGCTCCTCCCACCCCAGAGCCCTCCACCCCCTTCGGCCACATTGGGTGTGTGTGTGTGTGTGTGTGTGTGTGTGTGTGTGTGCCCCGTCCAGCCCCGGCCACAGGGACGTGGGAGCATCTTTCTCTCTTCCACGCATCAGGAGCTTCCTGGATACGGGCTCCTGGGACACGGGGACCCACTGGTGAATTTATCTTACAGGCACCCTTTGAGCACTTCCTCTGTGCCAGCCGCTAAGACAGTTGATATGTCTTAACCCACTTTGCCCTCATTGCCTCCCTGAGAGGTGGCACTGCTATTGCCCTCCCCATCGGACAGAAGAAAGGGAGGCACAGAGAGGTCCGATTGAGGCCACACAGCGGGTTGGCCAGTAGAGCCTGTGGAATTCTGGGAGGCACGTTAGCCAGTCCTTGATGGGGGGTCTGCTTTCCTACAGGGTGGGGCGTGCTGCAGGGGTGTGCCCAGGTTCACTGCTGGCTCCCCAAGGGAGGCTTGTGTATTTGGCGGATGGCCCCATTTGGCTGATGGCCCCGACTGATATGAAAGCGTTACCACATCCCAAAGGCACCGATGGCTGCCAAGGGGCAGTGGGTAGAAGGCAGGGTTTTCCCCTTCATTAAAGGGAAATGAATCCTGGATTTGAATTCCAGGTTTTCCACCCACAGTGTCACCTTGGGCACATTTCTGACCTGAGCCTTTGTCCCAGGACACGGGGATGACATAGGGTTAAGTGCTTGACAGATCATACGTAAGCCCTCAACGTATGTCATTGCATGCTGTCCTCCCATCATGATTGAGTCTGGGATGCATTCCTTGCAGGGCTGCTGTGAGCCTCAGTTTTCCCAAATGAAGCCTCAATATTAGAACGATAGATGGGAAATTCAGTCCTGACTCCCCGGCCTGAGGAGCCCCCTTGTGGGCAGTGTGGGGATTGATCAGAGTCCAGCTCCTCCAAGCGTCCACCCTGGAGTCGGGGAGGACGGCAGAGGGGAGGGGAGCTCCAGCCTGGTGGGGGCCGGACCAGGATGCAGTGAGGAAACTCTGACCCCTGGTTTGGGATTAGATTGAAGGAAGGTGCTTTGGTACCCCCAAAACTCACCACACCCCGATTCTGAAGACCAGTCCAGCTGCCCTTCTTAACGTTCCGTTTAAAGCGGCAGCCGAGCTCTCCTCCAGGGCCCCAAGGTATGTCCTGGCCCCTCCGGGCCTCCATTTCCCCGCCTTAGCATGCCCTCCCCTTCTCACCCGGCTGACAAGCCCTGTGTCCCTGCGCCCAGACTCGTCGGCCTGCCCCTGAGCCGGTGGCTGGGAGTGCAGAACCAGGCCAGGAGGCCGGCGGCGCCCAACGCCACGCTGGAGAAGCACTTCCTGCTGGAAGGATGGAAGCCGGACAAGGTGAGCACCTGCAGCCCTCTGTCCCCGCTGCCGGGGGGGGGCGGGGGCATGTGGCCCGCTTCCCGGGGACAGAGAAAGCCCAGGCAGCCCCCCCCACGCCCACTCCACCCAGCCCTTATCAGGGAGCTCAGCTGGCCACCGGGCAGCTCCTGGGCTGGAGAGGGGGAGGGGAGGGGCTATTCTGGGGGTTCTGCGGTCATGTGACTTCCTCGGGTCCTGCCCGTGGACAGGGTCGGGCTGGGTCCTGAGCGGGAAGAGGGTGGGCTCAGCTGCAGCACAGAGAGCCTGTGGCCAGCCCCCTCTGCGGGGAGGGGTCCGCACAAGGTCCCCGCTGCCCGCCTGGAGCGGCTGAGAGCGCTCTCTCCTATGGGGGCTCAGGAAAACCTCTGGGGAGCTGCCCCCATGCCCCAGCCCCTTCCCTAATCCCAGCCCCCTCCGTCATCTGCCTGTCCTGTGAGCAGGGCTGGCTTCTCCGAGGCCTGGCTTATTGGCGGGCCCTACCCCACACCCCACAACGCCCCCATCTCCGTCGCCCGTGAGGTCTGGGGCTGCAGGGGAGGGAATAGCAGAGCTGGGTCCCCGCTTTCCTGGGACAGGATAGGGCGCACCTCTCTGACCCCGGCCCCCATCACCCCTGTCCCAGCCTCGGATAGCTGTCCTGGCCACGCAGTGTGGCCTCACGCTGCGGCAGACCCAGCGCTGGTTCCGAAGGCGCCGGAACCAGGACCGGCCTTGCCTGACCAAGAAGTTCTGTGAAGCCAGGTCAGCCCCGGGGTGAGGGGTGGGGAGGGGCGGGTCCGCTGGGTCAGCAGCCGCCTCAGGGCTCCCTGTCTGTCCGCAGCTGGCGGTTTCTCTTCTATCTGTGCTCCTTCATCGGCGGCCTCTCCGTCCTCTACCACGTGAGTGTTCTGGCTGCTCCTGTCCCGCCACCTGCCCCACGGGCACCTGCTGGGCACCGGGCCTGGCTTGAGGGCGAGCGGGTGGAGGGGGTGAGCCGTGGGGAAAGCTTGTGCACAGCAGAGGGAAGAGAACTTGGCAAACATCGTGGTGAGAGCAGAGACGTGACCAGGTGGGAAAGATCAGAGCGGAGCGGCCTGGCTGGTGTTGCTCAGTGGTTGGGCACCGTTCCATGCACCCAGAGGTGGTTGGTTTGACTCCAGTCGGGGCACATGCCTAGGTCTCAGGCTCAATTCCCTGCAGGCGTGCAGAAAGGAAAAAAAAAGATCAGAGATGAGTGACAGCAGCACCTCAAGGGCCAAGGAGGTCCCAGACCCCAGTTCCCCATCCCCCAGGCCTGGGATGGGAAACTGGGGTCTGATCTTTGGGGCAGCTTCAGATGTCTGTGTGCTCCCCCCCACCCCTCCCTGCAGGAGTCATGGCTGTGGAGGCCAGCAATGTGCTGGGAAAACTACCCAAACCAGGTGAGTGGCGGGTGCCTGGGCTGGAGAGAGGATTGGGGCAGCCAGAGTCCCTGTGGCCGAAGGCGGCAGGACCACACCAGGACCTGACAGTCCGGTCCCCGTCCGAGTCCGCTGTCCGTCCTGCCTCCCCCGCGGAACACAGAGGGGCTCGAAGCAGAAGACGGAGCAGGAGGGGCCCTCGGTCACCTCTGGGGATTCGATCTCACACCTCTTCGCTCACTGGGGTTCAGGGTCCTGATGTTGAGCGAATCGGGGAGGGGACTGAGAGTTCCCCGCCCTCAGCTAACCCTGCCCCCCCCCCCCCCCCCAGCCCCTGAAGCCGGCCCTGTACTGCTGGTACCTCCTCGAGCTGAGTTTCTACATCTCGCTGCTGATCACGCTGCCCTTCGACATCCGGCGCAAGGTGAGGGCCGGCCAGGTCCCCGCCGGCAGGGAGGTCCGGGGGCTCCGGGGGCTCGGCATCCAGGGCGGTGGGGAGGGATGGCCTCGCCCCCACTGGGGACCCCCCGCTCCCTCGGGCGGGAAGCGTGGCGCAGCCAGACCCCGAGAGGCCCCCTGGCCAGCCAGCCTGGTCCCGGGGGTCACCCACTGTCTCTCGCAGGATTTCAAGGAGCAGGTGGCGCACCACCTCGTGACCATCATCCTCATCACCTTCTCCTACAGCGCCAACCTGCTGCGCATCGGCTCGCTTGTGCTGCTGCTGCATGACGCCGCAGACTACCTGCTGGAGGTGGGCCGGCCCCAGCCGCCCCCTCCGCACCCCACCCTCCCCGGTGCCCCCCCTACCCGGTGCTCCCCCTCCCCGGTGCCCCCCCCACCCCCGGTGCCCCCCCCACCCCCGGTGCTCCCCTTCCCTGGTGCGCCCCTCCTCCCCGGTGCCTCCCTCCTCCTCGGTGCCTCCCTCCTCCTCGGTGCCTCCCTCCTCCCCGGTGCCTTCCCCCTCCCCGGTGCGCCCCTCCTCCCCGGTGCCTCCCCCCTCCCCGGTGCCCCCGGAGCGGGGCCCTGCCCCTCAGCCTCCCAGGAAAGGAGGTTCTGCCTACTCAGGCTTCTAGGAATTGTGTCCCTGACCCTCCGTCTTCCTAGGAGGTGAGGCCCCACCTTCATTCTGGTGGCAGAAGCTTCTCACTCAGAGACCCACATTGTCCCTTTCCAGGCAGTGCCTGGACATGAGGCTCTGCCCCAGCCCCCTTTTCCTTGAGAAGAGGCCTCACCCCTCCCTACCTGGCTCTCCCCCCACCCCCTCCCATCACCCCGCCTGAGTCCCCTCTGCTGCCTCCCTCCCCCAGGCCTGTAAGATGTTCAACTACACACACCGGCGGCGTGTGTGCAACACCCTCTTCCTCCTCTTCTCCGTGGTCTTCTTCTACACCCGCCTCGTGCTCTTCCCCACGCAGTGAGTCAGACCGGGGGGTGTGGGCGCAGCTGGGAGCCAGACCCGGGCAGCAGGGGTGTTGCTGGGAGGGTGTTGTGCTCCCAGCCCCGGGCACTGCACGTGCTAAGGGCCCGAGGCAAAGGGACGGAAAGCTGGGCTCAGTCCTCACCCCCTGTGGGCCTGGAACGTGGAACGCATGGCAGGTCGGACCCCAGCTCGCTCAGGTCTGCCCAGTTCACTTGCTGGGCCTCTCCCAGCAGAGGGAGCGACGTAAAGGTGTCTGCTGACACCGGGGGAATGAAATGAGGCAGGCAAGTAGGAAAGAGAGCGTAAGGGAGTGGGGTCGTGTTGAAGAGAAAGTGAGGTCAGGCACAGGAAGTGTGGATTCTTGCACGGTCAGGGGTGTCGCTGACAGCGCCCCTCCGGGAAGCCCGGAGTGAGGTGAGGGAGAGGGCAGTGCTGATCACAGCAGAAGAGCCGCGGGAACACCACACGCAAAAGCCCTGATGAGGCTGCACTGGGCCTGAGAGCAAGGAGGCCCACGTGACAGGAGCAGAGTGAGCTAGACACCGGGAGGGGGGTTGTGAGGGCAGGTGGGGGCCTTATGGACCACTGGGAAAGACAGGGGTTTTTACACCAAGCGAAGTGAAGGATTCTGACTAGAGGAGGGAGGGGACCTGACTCGGGTGCTCACAGGAGCCCTCTGGTGGCTGCAGAGTGAATAGCTGGTGAGAGCATCAGAACCAACACGCTGACCCCTACCTCCCATCCCAACCCTGGCCCAGGAGCCTGGGAGCCAGGGCAGAGGCCACTGCCCTGGTCCAGGGGAGCGATGATGAGACAGACCAGTGCAGGTGAAGTGGGTGGACTCAGAGATGACTCGGGGTCAGGAGATGGTTATGAGCTCAGAATTGCCATGTCAGGATCAGGAGCTCGGCTATGGCAGTGTTGGGGTTGAGGGGCCTCCAGAGACCCCCAGAAAAGACGTGAGGAAACAGTGGGCACACCGATTGGAGAGTGTTTGCAGCCATGGGACTGGACAGGGTCATCCAGGGGCCAGGTATGGACAGGGTCCCAGTGCTGGAGCCCCTGGTGTTTGCAGGTCAAGGGGAGCCTGCAAGGGAGATGCAGAGGGAGCGGCATGAAGTGGGGGTGGGGGAGTGGGTCCCTGAGGTATTGGAGGAAAGGGTTCCGGGGAGAAGGGAGGGCCAGCTGGGCCCGCTGCATGAGCCGGGCAGATCTTACAAGCTGGTCTGGGGGAGGGTGGCGGGAGGCGAAAGCCTGCTGGGGGTAGGAGGGACCTGAGAAGAGGAGGGAAGGTGTGGAAAGACCCCAGCAGAGCAGTGGGGATACAAAGTGTGCTCCCTCGGGGCTCGTGGTTGTGCACACAGGCCAGTCAGTAAGCTTGTGTGACCGGCTCACCACCCAGTGAGGGGGCATTTCCATGCCCAGCTGCAGCATCGGTGTCAGTCTGGGGACCACGGGGAGCCATGGAAGGTTCTGGGGTAGGGTCGGTCACACAAGTGAGAGCTGCTCCCTCCCGCCTGCCCGCCCGCCCGCCCCAGGATCCTCTATACCACGTACTACGAGTCCATCGCCAGCTCGGGCCCCTTCTTCGGCTACTACTTCTTCAACGCGCTGCTGGCAATACTGCAGCTGCTGCACGTGTTCTGGTCTTGCCTCATCCTCCGTATGATCCGCAGCTTCGTAAAGAAAGGCCAGGTAGGGCCGCGCGAGGGCGGGCTCCTGTCCGCCACCCGGGGGCCCCGCCGAGGCTGAGCCCCCTCCTTGTTCCTCAGATGGAGAAGGATATCCGCAGCGACGTGGAGGAGTCGGCCTCCAGCGAAGGGGAGGAGCACCCGCAGCTCAAGAACGGAGCAGCTCAGGGCCCCCAGGCAGCCCCCACGGACGGCCCTCGGAGCCGGGCGGCCGGGCGGCTGGCCAACGGGCACACGGTGGCCTCGTAGCTGGCCGAGGATTGGCTGTGAGGGCCGCCCCAGTGCCTTGGATTTGTGGGGCGCCTGGACTGGTGGCCGCTGGGCCAGCTCTGTGGAGACAGAGAGGGCCCCACCCCAGGGCGGGAAGAGGGCTGATGATCTGTCTCCAGCCCCTTCCTTCTGCCTCCCCTCCTGCCTCCCCTCAGGCCACTAGACAGAGCTGGGGGGTGGGCAGCCGTGGGGTGCTGCAGCCCGCCGGAGCCAGCCCCGGGCAGTGAAGGGGACAATAAAACTTGAACAGAGCCAGATTCTCTGCCTCAGTTTGTGTCCCTGTCCCAGCTCCTCAGAGGCCCGGACTCTGTTTGCATACCCCGCTGACAGGACACTCACTGCCACCCCGAGACACGCCCAGCCCCACGAGACCCAGCCAACAGGCAGCTCGTGAGCGTGAGCCACCGCCCGCCACCCACCCGGCTTACAGCTGGAGGTCACAGGTCAGAAGCCAAGCAAAAGGGCGAAGGGAGGTTCATACCTGTCCTAGCAGCTCTCGCTCAGTGCCGGCAGAACCCCGCCCCCACGGGCCTCCCCAGGTCAGCTCTTCGGAGCTGCACAGGAAGATGCCCCCTCTTCCCCTGCTGACACAGGCTGGCTGTGTCCCGTACCCCGAAATCATAGCCAGCCTGCCCCGTGCAGGGCCCGAACATGCTGCCCTCAGGAGAACAAAGAGGAGGAGGGGCAGAAACTAAAGAAGTAGGAAATGGCAGAGGAGGGCACTGCGTGGGGACAAGGGGGAGAGGAGATGGGTTAGAGATGGAGGACAGGTCATTGAGAGGAGGAAAACGGTCAAAGAGGAACAGATGTGAGAGAAGAAATGGCTAGGAGAAGGGGCCGTGGGAGAGGGACAGGAGAAGCCAGGGGAGAGACACCCTGTCAAGACTGGGCTGAGGGACAGGAGCAGGGAGGCGAGAAGAGAGAAGGCATGCAGGTCTTGTCCTCTGTGCAAACCAACGGGAGAGAATGGAGTGTGGACACGGGGCAGAGAGGAGGAGGAAGGTCTCTGTTTGTCTCCACTGAGAGATGAGGGTGGAGGGAGAGAGAAAGGGTGTTTAAGATGATGGAAAGAGGGACTAGAAAGATGGGAGGGTGAGGAACAGATAGAGAGCAGAGGGGTAGGGGTATGGGGACAAGGGACATTGGGGTAATGGGAGGGAAAGGCACTGGAGAGAGGATGAATGAAGTGTCAGAAGGATTTGTGAGGAGCAAGTATATTGGGAGGATGGGGGAGAGAGAAAATTGAGAAATGGCCAAGTGGGAAAAACCGGGGTGTGAAAGGGTTATCAAGTAGGAATGTTGCAGTAGATATTGAGAGAGAAAAGCAGAGGAGGAGGCATGGGAAGATGAACAGGTTACTCAGAGGGGAAAGGTGCAATTTGGCCTTGCAGCAAATAAAAAAAGATGCTCAACTTTTTTTTTTAAAGTGCAGATGAAAAAATGACAAATTGTTTCTCACGAGCTATCCTGGCAAACGTGACAGCGCCCTCTGGTGGTGATGTTTGCAGGGGAAGGGAGCTGCTATGGCACGTGCCATTGAGGGGAGCTGGGCTTTCTCTGGCAGGACAGGTGCATTTCATCTTCATCTCTAAAGAGACATCAAGAGCTCCCTAGTGCGCCTACAAATCGATAAAGAAAGGACAACCAACCTAAAGAGAAAATAGGGAAAATAGGGAAAAATACACAGTGCACACTTACAGAAGAGAAGACATGTATGACCAATAAACACATGAGGACGATCTCATTCATAATCAGGATAATGCCAGTCAAGACAGATACCATTTTAGACCCATTCAATTGGCAAAAATGAAGACATTGGACAAAGCAAGTGTTGGAGAAGGTTGAGGATCGATAAGAATCATATATTACTGGGGACAGTGTAAACTGGTACGTCACTTGGAAAACAATCATGTAAAATTGTTGACGATTTTATAAAGTTCAGAGCATCTTAAAATGATGTACTATTGTTTAGGCATAAATGTCTAATAGAACTACAGTAGTCCCCCCTTAACCAAGATCTCCAGCAGATGCCTGAAGCCACAGATTGTACCAAATCCTATGTTTATAGTGTTTCCCAAAAACACATACACACACTTGGAATAATTATAAAGGCTGTGTTTATTAAAATGCATTTCATTTTCAAAATTGAGCTGTCAGCTGTTAGTGTGTGTACATTTTTGTGGAATACTCTGTATACTATTTTGTTTATTTCTGGAGTTTTCCACTTAGTGTTTTTGTACAGCAATTGATCATGGGTAACAGACCTCAGAAAGCAAAACCGTGGATAGGGGAATACTACTATATTTAAGAAAATAAAGACAGACAATTCAGTAGACTGATACGTTACCTTTGATCTGGGGAAGCAGGGGAATGGGATTCCTGTGGATATAAATTACTGTCACAGTTCTAGTTTTTGAAGTGTGGTGTGACAGAAATATTATCCTATCTAATAAAAGTAATATGCAAATTACTGCCACTCCAACACAAGATGGTTGCCCCCATGTGAACACAAGATGGGCAGTTGGGAGGGACCAGGCCTGCAAGGGAGGGCAGTTGGTGTGATCACACCTGCAGAGAAGGGAAGTTGGGGGTGACTAGGCCTGCAGAAGAGGGCAGTTGGGAAGGACCAGGCCTGCAGGGGAGGGCAGTTAGGGGCAATCAGGCTGGCGGGGAAATAGTTAGGGGGTGATTAAGCTGGCAGGCAGAAGAGGTTAGGGGCAATCAGGAAGGCAGGCAGGCAAGCAGTTGGGAGCCAGCAGTCCTGGATTATGAGAGGGATATCCAACTGCCCGTTTAGGTCCAATCCTACCAAAGCTAGACATTCCATGAGGGGTGCCAGATTGGAGGGGGGGCAGGCTGGGCTGAGGGACACACACGAACTTCGTTCACCAGGCCTTTAGTTAATAAATACAATTTGAAAGGGATATGCAGATTTCACTCACATGGGATCTAAAACTAAAAGCATGCCTTACTGGTTTTGCTCAGTGGATAGAGCGTTAGCCTGTGGACTGAAGGGTCCTGGGTTCAATTCTGATCAAGGGTACATGCCTGGGTTGTGGGCGTTGATCCCCAATAGGTGGGGTGCACAAGGCAGCAAATCAATGATTATCATCATTGATGTTTCTCGCCCTCTCTGAAAAAAAGGGATACATTTAAAAAATAAAACTGAAAGCATCAAATGGACAAATAAGATAAAAACTCACAGACACAATAGTATGGTGGTTACCAGAAGGAAAGAGGGATGAGGGAGTGGAGTGTATGGTGACAGAAGATTTGACTGGGTGGTGGACACAATGCAATATACAGATGATGTGTCATAGAATTATACACTTGAAACCTATATGGTTGTATTAACCAATTAAACCCCAATACATTTAATTTTTTAAAGTATTTTAAAGGCTATTTGCAAAAAGCATGCAACCCAGGAGAAAGTACTTGCAAGCCATATGCCTGAAAAGGGCCTAGTATCCAGAATACAAAGAACTCTTACAGTTCACGAACAACAGAAAGGATAGGTGAAGGACTCGAATTGACATTTCTCCAAAGATACACCGACAGTTAACAAGCACGCAAAAGATGTTCAACAAATCAAATGATGTTCAATGTAAATCACAGCCACAAGACACCACTTCGCATCCATCAGGATGGATGTGGCAAAAAGTGAAATAACCAGTGTTGGTGAAGATGTTGGAAAACTGGAGCAACCCTCTTACATGGCTGGGAACAAAATGGTTAACACTGTGGAACACAATTTGGCAGCTCCTCAAAAAGTTAAATAGTTACCTATGAGTCAGTTGAAAACAGGGACCCAAAATGTTTTGCATGAATGTTCACAGTAGCACCATTCATAACACCCAAAAGATGGAAACCATCAACCGGTGAGTGGACAAACTGTGGTCCATCCACACAATGGAATAGTATTCAGCCACAAAAAACAAACAACACAGCCCTGGCCTAGTGGCTCGGTTGGTTGGAATGTCATTCCATTGTATCTAGAGTTGGCAGGGCTGATCCCAGGTCAGGGTGCCTATGGAAGGAAATGATCTCTCTCTCTCTCTCTCTCTCACTCTTTTTCTCTCTCTCTCCCTCTCTATCTCTTCCTCTCTATTAAAAAAATAACACATATCTGTGGGTGAGGATTTAAAAAAAAAAAAAAAGAAAGAAAAAGTACCATGTGCTACTACATGAAATAACTAACAAGTAGGGAGATTTTTTTTTTTTTTGGAGTGAGCCTTAAGAAAGAACTCCCATACTCGCTTTGGCAGCACATACTAAAATTGGAATACAGAGAAGATTGGTGTGGTCCCTGCACAGGGATGACACTCAAATTCACAAACCATCCCATTAAAAATAATAATAAACCCAAATATCAGCAAGAAAAAGAGCCAACCAAAAGTAAAGGGACAAACAGGATATGAACAGGCAAGTTACAGGAGTGTGTGGACCCTAAAAGAGAACATTCCCTCCTTAAAAGGGCATTGGGGCCCTGGCTGATGTGTCTCTGTGGTTAGAGCACTGGCCACACACCAAAGAGTTGCAGGTTCAATTTTGGGAGGTAGTTTGGTGATTTCTTTCTTTTTTTAATATCTCTTTTTTAAGTTTTTTTTTTTTTCCTATTGAATCTAGAAAGAGGAGGAGGAGAGGAGAGGAGAGGGAGGGCGGGGGGGAAACATCGATTTGTTCCACTTACTTATGCATTTATTGGTTGATTCTTGTATGTGCCTGACCAGGGATTGAACTCACAATCTCGGCATATTAGGATGAAGGTCTAACCAACTGAGCTACGCAACCAGGCCTAGTTTGGTGATTTCTTACAAAACTAAACATATTCTTAGGATATGATCCAGCAGTTACGCTCCTTGGCATTTACCCAAAGGGGGTGAAAATTTACATCCACACAAAAACCTGTGCATAAATGTTTATGGCAACTTTACTAATAATATTCAAAAGAAATGAGCTATCTAGCCATGGAAAGACACAAAGGAAAGTTAAATGACAGTTATTTAGTGAAGGAAACCAATCTGAAAAGCCTACATAAGGATGGTTCCAACTGTATGACATTCTGGAAAAGGCAAAACTATGGAGACAACTAAAAGATCCATGATTCCTTTCGGCTGGATCTGCCATCTTCCAGGTGGGCCCTGCACAGGGCTCCAGGCGACCGTGGTTCGACAGGTAATTCGCCAAAATGACTAACGCAAAGGGAAAGAGGAGAGGCACCGCTACATGTGCTCCAGGCCTTTTAGAGAACATGGAGCTGCTCCTTTGGCCACATCCACGCGAATCTACAAGGAAGGCGATGTAGTGGACATCAAGGGAATGGGCGCTGTTCAATAGGGAACCCCCCACAAATATTACCGTGGCAAAACTGAGAGAGTCTACCGTGTGACCCAGCACGCAGTGGGCATTGTTGTGAACAAGCAAGGTAAGGGCAAGATTCTTGCCAAGAGAATTAATGTATGTATTGAGCCTATTAAGAGCTGAGATCGCTTCCCATGTGAAGGAAACGTGTGAAGGACAATGACCAGAGAAAGAAGGGGGCCCAAGAGAAAGGTGCCTGGTTCACCTGAAGCCCAGCCTCCCCCACCCAGAGAAGCACAGTGAGAACCAGAGGAAAGGAGCCTGGGCTGCTGGGACCCATTCCCCATGATTCATGGCGTGAGAAGTGGGAAAAATAAAAAAGACTTCTGTGCTGATGAAAATGTTTCTCTTAATTGGGTGGAAGTGTGGTGTCCCTTCCCCAAAGAATAATTAAAGGAAACCTGTGTCCTAAAAAAATAAACTAAAAAAGTAAATGGTTTATACTTCTTCCCAACCAGCGGCCTACATCGCCCTACTCGGGTAGTTGGCAGAAAACCAATATGTGCCATTTGCCAACCACACCCACGGACAGCTGAAGCTAAGGGAGTAAATCTCATTTTGGCACGTCAGCATAAAACGAATGCATGTTCTATCGAGATCCTCCCCCAAATCACCCTAAAACCCCAGCCTTTACAAACACTCAAAAACCAGGCCCCTGGCCCTAACCGGTTTGGCTCAGTGGATAGAGTGTCGGCCTGAAGAATGAAAGGTCCCAGGTTTGATTCCGGTCAAGGGCATGTACCTTGGTTGCAGGCACATCCCCAGTAAGGCTGTGCAAGAAGCAGCTGATCGGTGTTTCTCTCTCATCGATGTTTCTAACTCTCTATCCCTCTCCCTTCCTCTCTGTAAAAAATCAATAAAATATGCATTTTAAAAAAAACCAAAAAACAAAAAAAACAGGTCCCTGAGTGCATGATCTCCTTCCCATGAGCATTCCCATGCCTTTCCCTTCCTCTGCTTCTCCCCACACAGGAATGTGTCTCCTAAACTCTAAGGGACCCCATGAAGCTTACAATCAGGGAGCAATGGACAGCAGCAGCTCATCCCCGGCTAACCCCCTGACCTTGTCCCCAGATCCTCCTTTCCTTTTCTTTCATATATATAAATATAAATATATATATGATTGATTTTTCTTTTTTAGCTGATGTCACGTTTTATTGCGTAAAGGGGAAGCAGAACGTGCACCCGGCACGGGTGCATCTTAGAAAGCACTCTGCAGAAAGAAGCAAGCGAGAGCCGCTTCGCTGGTCACGCACCAGGCTCAGGAAGCTTCTCCGTTTGTCTCCTGAGGCCAGCACACTGAGGGGGCCCCACCAGGGAGGGGGGCGTGCAAGCGAGAGGCAGGCTGCGTGGCCCGGCCTGGCACATCTCCTCTATGCATTCTTACTGCTGGACTTCACCAAGGAGGTCTTGCCCAGCCAGGGGGCGGTGTGTATCTGGAAAGAGCAGAGTGCTTCCTTCAGGTTCGGCTGCTCCTGGAAGGGACAGGCAGCCAAGTTAGGCTGGGACTTGGTACACGTGGTTCGCCCAATCTTCACACCCAAGAAGTAGTTCATTCCGGCGGCCACGACCTTGGTTGCGGGCACATCCCCGGTGGGGGTTGTGCAAGAGGCAGCTGGTCGATGTTTCTCTCTCATCGATGTTTCTAGCTCTCTATCCCTCTCCCTTCCTCTCTGCTTGCAGGCGCGCACTACCTGCATGGCGCGGCTGTGGTAGGCGTCGTTGCTTGCCTTGTACTCGCTCAGGGCGAAGCTAAGCGCCTGCTGCACTCCCTCCTCCTTCACGTCCGCCTCCGCCAGGCTGCCCACCACGCGCGGCCTCCCGGCGTTGGCGTTGGCGTCGGCCGCGGGGCTCCGGGTCAGGGCCAGGGCCAGGGCCAGGGCGAGCAGGAACAGCGGGGCGCGCGAGAGCCCGGCCATGGTCGCCTCCAGGGAACAGAACGCTAGAGCGGGGAGACGAGTGTGCAGGGTGCGATCTGGATGCCGCGAGCCCCACCCGCCCGCTATGATTGATTTTTTTACAGAAACATCGATGAGAGAGAAACATCCATCAGTTGCCTCCTGCACACCCCCACTGGGGATGTGCCCACAAACAAGGTACATGCCCTTGACCGGAATCGAACCTGGGACCCTTCAGTCCACAGGCTGACGCTCTATCCACTGAGCCAAACCAGTTAGGGCCCCAAAGCCCCCTTTTCTCTGTTGCCTTAGTGACAGGGGGGACTCATAATCTAATAGATAGAGCACCTGAGTTAATTTAAGAGATAATCATAATAGTTGGAAATTCTGAAATACATAGAGATGTGGGAACAGAGGGTTAAGTTTCTTTTCTAAGTTTCCTTTCTTGGGCCAGTGCACCTGCGGACTCCCTTTGACCCTGAGCAACGTGACGGAGGAGGTGATCCAACTGTGGCCTTGTGTGTCTGGCCTCTTTGATTGAGAATCTGTTTTCACGGCTCAACCATGTTGTACACTGCACCCAACAGGCCAGCAGAACTGCTAGGCATGACCAGCTGACCCCACCAGGAGCCAAGCCGTCATCTCATTGCCTGACAACCAAGAGCAACGGTTGACATCTGCTCCGTCCAGGGCTGCGTGCAATTGCATTCTGTCCCCAACCTCACCCCTGAGGGCTGAAAGGTCCCAGGTTCGATTCCGGTCAGGGGCATGTACATTGGTTGTGGGCACATCCCCGGTAGGGGGTGTGCAAGAGGCAGCTGGTTGATGTTTCTCTTCATCGACAATTCTAGCTCTCTAGCTCTCTCCCTTCCTCTCTGTACAAAATCAATAAAATATATTTTAAAAAAAAAAAACATTTAAAAAAAAACAAAAACCCGTGCCATCTGTAAGCAGAGCACCAACAAAAGCAGAAAGGAGCTTGAGAAAATACTAGCATATTTCTCATGCGTACAAATAAATAAATATGGGAATAGGAATCCAACTTTAAAAATAGAAGTTCAGCTGAAACCGGTTTGGCTCAGTGGATAGAGCGTCAGCCTGCTGACTGAAAGGTCCCAGGTTCGATTCCAGTCAAGGGCATGTACCTGGATTGCAGGCACATCCCCAGTAGGGTGTGTGTAGGACGCAGCTGATCAATGTTTCTTTCTCATTGATGTTTCTAACTCTCTATCCCTCTCCCTTTCTCGCTTTAAAAAAAAAAAAATCAATAAAAAATATTTTTTAAAAATAGAAGTTCAGCCCAGCCGGGGGTATTTCCGTGGTTGAGCATCGACCCAGGAACCAGGAGGTCATCAGTTGGATTCCCAGACAGGGGCACATGCCTAGTTGCGGGTTTGATCCTCAGTGTGATTGTGCAGAAGGGAGCCAATCAATGATTCTCTCTCATCCACTGATGTTGCTATCTCTCTTTCCCTCTCCCTTCCTTTCTGAAATCAATAAAAATATATATTTTTTAAAAAGAAGTTGAGCTCATAACACTACACATACCATAGTCACCCACTTAAAACGTGCAAAGAGCCTACCAGCATGGCTCAGTGATTGAGCACCAACCTAGGAAGATTGATTACGGTCTGATTCTTGGTCAGGGCATACGTACCCTGGTTGTGGGCTTGATCCCCAGTGTGGGCATGCAGGAGGCAGCAGATCAATGATTCTCATCATTGATGTTTCTATCTCTTTCTCTCTCTCCCTTCCTCTCTGAACTCAATCCTATATAATAAAAGCCTAATATGCAAATTGTCCCCTGTGGTTGACAGCTGTGCAGGGGCCTAGAAAGCTGCTGGGTGGGGGCAGCCGAGGTTCCACGTCCCTCCCTCCTCCCCGTGACCTGTCACCCCAGCTCTCCTCGGAGGCCCCGCCTGGGCTCGCCTGCACAGCTCCCGCACAGCCCCACCCACACTGCCTCACCCGCACCTCCTTCCCCACCCTGCACAGCCCCGCTCTGTCCCCCTAACCCTCTCCCACAGCCTTTGGGGAGCTCCGCCCCTGGAGGAGAAAAAGGCTGCAGACAGGAGGTCGCAGGAAGAGGGGGCAGAGCAGGACCCACCAAGTTAGATGCAGGGGAGGGAGGGAGAGACCCCACAGGACTGGGGGCAGAGATGGGCGGAAAGAGGGCAGAAGCATTGCCCTTGGTTGAAGTAGAAATCCTGACCCCATTTTACAGCCCCCAGCAGAGTGTGTGTGAGGGGGGTGGAGGGAAGCGAGGGGAGGTGAAGACGAAAGAGGGTGTGAGGGAACTGGATGGATGGAGATCAGCGACGTTTGATTCATGGCTTATTTATTTTTATTTTTGTTAATGCATTTTTACTGATTTCAGAGAGGAAGGCAGAGGGAGAGAGAGAAAGAAACATCAATGATGAGAGGGAATCGTTGATCAGTTGCCTCCTTCACGCCCCCTTACTGGGGTTGGAGCCCACAACCCAGGCATGTGCCCTTGACTGGAATCGAACCCAGGACCCTTCATACTGCAGGCCATGGCTCTGTCCACTGAGCCAAGTCATCTAGGGTGACCCATGGCCTATTTAAAACCGCTGCAGCAGGCTGAGCAGGGGGTCTTACCATGATGGTGTTACCTGATAATGAGGGTGTCTCTCCTTATGTTGGGGTAATTGGAACTGCAGCAAAGTAAGGTCTCACCCATGTGCGGGAGGCCACCCCCCACCAATGCTATAATATCATGAGAGTGCACCAGGAACGCAGAAGGCCGATGGACCTTGGACGATTAGCAGGACTAACACCAAACATCACTGTTCGTGTTGAGATAGCGGTGGCTTGAAGCAATTTCCTGACCTAGTAGCCTCAATGTAAATGTTTACTGGACCTTACTGATCTTTTCTGATCTTTATCGACCTTAGAGACGGTCTGTCTGCTACCTGTCTGCCATGCTTTACTGGGGGCAAGATGTGTATCAAAAACTGAATAAAAAGCGGATAAGGCCAGGTTTCAGTGTGCCTCTCCAAGAGTCTCCACCTGGCCCCCAATGCCTTCTAAATTCATATTTCTTTGGTGCAACCACTGTGGAGAACAGTATGGAGTTTCCTCAAAAAACTGAAAATAGAACTCCCATTTGACCCAGTAATCCCACTCCTAGGAATATATCCAAAAAAAAACTAGAAACACCAATCAGAAAGGGCATATGCACCCCTATGTTCATAGCAGCACAATTTAAAAAGCTAGGATTTGGAAACAGCCTAGGTGCCCGTCAGCAGATGATTGGATCCAAAAACTATGGTACATCTACACAATGGAATTCTATGCTGCCATAAAAAAGAAGGATTTCTTATCATTTGCAGCAACCTGGATGGAATTGGAGAACATCATGCTGAGTGAAATAAGCCAGTCAATGAAAGAGAAACACCACATGACCTCACTCATTTATGGATAATAAAGAACATTATAAACTGATGAAGCAAAAGATAGATATAGAGACAGTAAAGCAACAAGCAGACTGTCAAATTACAGCAGGGAGGAGAGGGAGATCTGGGGGAGATAAGAGATCAACCGAAGGACTTGTGTACATGCATATAAGTACAACAATGGACACAAAACTCTGGGAAGGGTGGGTATGTATGGGAGGGGGTGCAATGGTAAGATATGTACACAGATAATTATTTAATTAAAAAAATAAGAAAAAAATTAATAGGAAACAAGAACATAAATTCATATTTCTTGTCTAATGTTTTCATTAGACAAGAAATATGAATTTAGAAGGCACTGAGTTTAGACATTTGTGTGTCGACCCCTTCTTCAGATCCTGAACCTTAGTTGTGCAGGTTACAGCATTCTGGGACCTCAAACAAGATACTGGAGAAGAAGATTCGCTGGAGCGAAAAAAAAGTGAAAAAGGAAAAGTGGCTCTTTTCGTGGCGCCGCGGAGGCTGTCGGCTGCTTCAGGATGAAGCTCAACATCTCTTTCCCAGCCCCTGGCTGCCAGAAACTCACCGAAGTGGACGATGAGCGCAAACTCCGTACCTTCTATGAGAAGCGTCTGGCCGCAGAAGTTGCCGCTGACGCTCTGGGTGAAGAAAGGAAGGGTTCTGTGGTTCGAATCAGTGGTGGGAAGGACAAACAAGGTTTCCCCATGAAGCAGGATGTCTTGACCCAGGGCCGAGTCCGCCTGCTGCTGAGAAAGGGCACTCCTGTTACCGACCCAGGAGGACTGGAGAGAGAAAACGCAAATCTGTTCGGGGTTGCATTGTGGATGCCAACCTCAGTGTTCTCAACTTGGTCCTTGTGGAAAAAGGGGAGAAAGATATTCCTGATCTCACTGACACCACTGTGCCTCGTCGCCTGGAGCCCAAAAGAGCCAGCAGAATCCGCAAACTTTTCAGTCTCTCTAAAGAAGATGATGTCCGAAAATATGTTGTGAGAAAGCCTCTAACCAAAGAAGGCAAGAAACCTGGGACTAAAGCGCCCAAGATTCAGCGTCTGTTACTCCACGTGTCTTGCGACACAAACGCAGGCGTATGGCTCTGAAGAAACAGCGCACTGAGAAGAACAAGGAAGAGGCCGCAGAATATGCTAAACTTTTGGCTAAGAGAACGAAGGAGGCCAAAGAAAAAACGCCAGGAGCAGATTGCGAAGAGACGTAGACTGTCCTCTCTGAGAGCTTCTACTGAAAGACCCCCAGAGGGAGACCCTCACTCTGTCCCATGGATCGAGGCCCCAATCAACCGCAGGAGGCGTCACTTGATGCAAACAGCAAGAGGCATTATTCCAGCGCGCTGGGGCTCACCTCAACTCGTAACTCACACAGGAGCAGAGGAGTCCAGCCCCGAGCAGAAAATCTCACAAGCTTATAAAGGCAAAACCACATATCGGAAGGGGTTACACACGGAAGGTGAAGAGGGGAACAAAGAATTCCAAGGGGGAGCTGGGCTCGTTCCTTGTTCAGGGGCTGTTCCCTGAGACAGCTCTAAGGGCTCTGTTCCCATCACTAGCCAGAGGGAGACCTTGGGGAG